AAATTTTTTAATCCTCCTTTCATGTCAAATAAAATGGGGAAAATAGCAAGTTCTGAAACATATTGCATTGAAATTGTGGATGCTACTGTGCTAATATTGAATGTAAAATACAAGACAAGCTGAATGAACTGAATTTATCCAAATCCAAGGGGCAGTAGGGTTTTTTCCACCCCTGGCTCTAGGGAATAGATTTAGTCAAGTATTTTCTTCGTGTTCTGAATTGCAGTCCTCTCTAGGGCACAACAGACTGTTCCTTTCTTGAGAGACCAACTCACAGGAGGAGAAGAAGAGGAGTGGAGAGCAGAAATTGTGTGGAATACTCAACTATTTATAGAACTCCAGGGAAGATAAGCAAAGCTGAACTGGGCAGGGAAGGAAAGCTAAAAGCATTTAGACCCAGATTGCTCAAAAATTGCCAGCTTTCATCCAGATCCAGATCATAATCAAATTTTGCCAGACAGGTACCAAGTGCCAAAAACCCATTTCTCCCTTGTTTTTGCAGAATGACTCTATTTTTATAATCCACTTTATCTCAAAGAAAACTGCAAATCTTGGCCAGGAAGGCAATAAAAAACACCTTGCTGACCTGGCAAAGGTTGATGTGGCTCACAGCTCCAATCTGAGCAGGCTTCAGGAGATGTGAGCACTCACCTCACAAATTGTCAATTATAAAAAATAATATATGTATTATTTTGATAAAAATCAGATTTGGAAGTGAAAGATCTTTGTTTATTTTTTATCTTCTACCATCTTGAAAGTTATTAGGGAAACAAGATAGAAACATAAAACTTGACATGTTTAATATTGAGGGAGAACTCAGGGCCACAGAATTTATAAGAATAGTAATGAATTCCAAAATAGGACAGTGTGGAAGTACAACATCCAAACTGGACTATATATTTGTGCCTAAGATCTCATTCCTATATTCACATTTCTTCAATGAAAAGGAATCTAAATTTCAGTTGTGTTCTATGGACTCTACATCTACTCTAAATTCAGCAGCACCCAAAATTATTTTAAAAATTAAAAAAAAAAAATCCCATTTGTTCTGTTTAAGGGCTTAAATTTAGAATAGATATAAGGTTTATTAATAAAAGGAGTTAGAATTTAAAGTATCAACAATATAAAGTTTATCCCTATTAGCAGCACACTTTCAAATAGAAGAGTAAAGCCTGAGAACTGAATAGAAAAAAATCCAATTAAGGCCTGCATCTCATCTTAATACACTGCTGAGTAAATCAGAAAAGATTCATTAAAGACAGTGTGTTAAATTAAATTAGCTCTACATACTGTATTTTAACACTTCCTAGCATTTAGTGAGAGTGCAGGAACAGAGCAGTTTTATGAGACTACTTAAACCCCTCCAGCTTCTGCAGCTGAATCTCCAGAATTACAGCTCACATTCCGGATGCAGAAGGAAATTCTCCTGAACAAACAAGTCTCAAAACAAATAAAGAAGTCAGCCAAATCCTTTATAAATTATAAACCAGCCCTGTCTGCCAAACAACTGCCCAGTAAGCACTGGGAATGTTTAACAGCTTAAATCAAGGGTTTAAAGAACTCACAATATGCTTTCAAAGTTTTCATCACCCAGCTAAAAGAGTTCTCCATTTCCACTCTTCATCTGGGTTGGACTGATCTCTAAAGCTCAAGTCCATATGGAATAAGGACTGAAGTGCCAGTTTGTTTCTTCCATCTGACAAGAACTAGACCACACCAGAATAATCTCAGCTTCCAAGCATGAAAAGCAGTGCAGAATTCCCCAGGTTCAAACTCACACTTGTGTTTGCCGAGAGATTCTGGCATCTGGTTACATTTCTCACTGCAGCTTTTGCATGAAGACATAGAATAGCTGAATATCTGAACACACTGCAGTGTTACTCAAAAAGTAACAGGTTCAGCCTCAAACCTGACATTCACACACCACAGCAATGCTGAAAGGCTGAGTTACCCTAAGGAAAGTAATTCATCCTTTCATGCAGATGCACCCTGGAACAGCCACGGAGTTTAGACAAGGCTCAGCACAACAAGCCAGCACTGAACAGCAGAAATGAGTATCTGAACATAATATTACAGCCTGAGATTCCATTCAGCTTGAGGGTATAAGCAAGCTTTATGATGAGGTCATAAAGCAATTTTTACACTGAATTTATGAGCTCATTGTAACAGTCATTTCCAGAAGCCAGTGACTGGTTTATTAGGAGACAGCCTACAGCAAAATTGGAAACAGAGATTGCAAGAGAAGCTCGACTGCAATATCCAAGACTGAAGCACAAAATCTGTAAGGCAAACAAGTAGGGAGGGAAGGTTTAAGCATGAGGCTTATAAATATCTGAACAAGGACATTTCAGAATCAGCAACACGAGAAGCATTGATTTACACTCACTTTCATTTGCAGAAATTCACTTTTATTTGAAGATGAGCTTATGCACAGCATGCAGGATTGAAAAATAACCACTACCCCTGAATATTCACACCAGACACCTATTGTTAAATCATGAATAAGTGACAGCAGAGTGTTTTCACCACACATACAAATTGTTTAAGATCCATCTTGCTTCTTAAGTTAAAAACTCCCACTTGCTTCTTACATTAGTCCTTGTTAAATCACTCTAATTGGCACAACAATAAAGCAAATGTAACCCAGAGCTCATCCCAAACTGCACTGTGAGGGACAAACAGCCCACAAACCCAGATTTGTTCTGCTGCCACAGGGAGAAACTCAAGGATCTTTTAAGGAGGTTCTAAGGAACTCAAAAAGGTTCATAAATATCAAACATTTTGAGACTCAGCATCAAAAGGAACCTTGGATCCTATCTCATGTGCAGATCCCAGATTGTTTCATTTCAGACAGCAATGTCTGAGCAAAAGCATTTGACAATGAACATAATTCATGTACTCAAAGACACCCAGTATAAACCAGAGAGACTCAAATCCAAAACTACAGCAAATTCCTCAAAACTCAGCCAAGACAACTGGACCCCAGCACATTCTAATTATATCTGTAAATTCTTAATTGACTGGATTGTTTACAGTAACTCCCTGTATCTATGGTTTGGAATTTATCTGGCTTTCATTTTAAGCTATTGGTGGTTCCTATGCTGCTTCCTACCAAAGAGCAGTGTTAAAGAAGTCACAAGCAGAAATCCACATTATCACAGAATCACTGCCTAAAGAAGCAAATACATCTCCTCACTTATAACAGGTAATTTTTTCTGGTCATTTACCCACTATGTCTGTCCATGTACATAGAGACTTAATTATGTGCAAAGCCCAGTGAATCAAAAAACATTTTTAGCATAGCTCTAAATAGTTGTGAGCTCCATAGGCGTTTTTAATCCAAGCAGATCCAATTATTGGTTTATAGTAGTTTAATTGGGACAAACTGCAGGCATGCTACAGGTGCTGTACAGCAGTGATGCTCATCAGGCTCAGGACACAGAGACATTTACTCAGCAAAGAACCCTTTGATGCTGTTGGAATGTGTATTCCCTACCTAACATAGTTTTGATCATCTGAATGGTTCTTCTGTCACAAAATACCAATTAAATCAAAATTCATTCCATAAACCTGGCAACAGGATCCAGCATGTGCCTTCCCACCACAGTTTTTCTACACATGCTGAAAACCAAGTTTCTGCTTTACACCCCTTCAATCTCCTTCTAATACTATCACACAGATCATTGGGAACCTGCAACTTCTTGGTTGCCAGGACAACTGATTGACAAGCAAAAAGTGCACTGAAATGCTTTTTTCTTTGTGTACTTGGTGCAAAGTTCTGCATTTGTAGATTTTTTTAGTCCTATCTTGAAGTAACACTCCCATTGCTGCTGTGACTGAGAAGTGTCTACAGGTCAGACATTCTACACAAATCTCTGAACTTAAAAATTAATGCTGGATATTTTGTTCACTTAAATAGCAAATTATTTCCTCAATCATGCTCATTTATATTTATAAACAATTTGGAAACACCTTACTATACCATAAAACACAAAGGCTTTAGTAATTTTGCAAAGACCTTTCCTATGCTGCAGAATCAATTGATGATGAATTAACAGTGCTAATGATCCAAAAGAAACACATTTACAAATTAACAGCTTCAGTTGTTTATTGCTCAGATAGACTTGTGAATATTCCCATTGTGAAAGAATCAAATTCACAGGCAAAGCAAGAGAAAAGCAGAGCCTGTGTTTGCTTCTCAAACACATCTGAAGCCAAATTTTGCCACATACAACACTCACTCTAATTCCTGACAGGATGGGCTGATGCAGAACATGGATCTGTACAGGGAATGTTTCAAATACTGCACATAACACAACATTCACCAAAAGCTGGGAAGAGACCAATGAAGTGCTGCAACCCATTATTTACCATCTTTCTTATTTTCATCTCAAATTATATCTCCTTCAAAGCTGGCCATTATGCAGCTAAATTTATTTCATGCTCTAAATAACAACTTTACACCTTCAACAGGTAAGATCTGTCCCAGAAAAGCAAAGAGCAGCTTAGGCCAGGGCAGACTCTGGGTAAGCACAGTGCAGCTTCCACCTACACAACTCCTCTTCCACCTACACAACTCCTCTTCCACCCTGCTACTTTTCTTTACTTTTCCTTTGACTCTCTCAACTATTCTGTTTTATTACTTGTATGAACATCACTAAAAACAACTCACTGCAAGAAAGCCAAGAATTCACAGAGAAGCACCTTCCTACAGAGTAAATAGCTTGAGAAAGCACCATGAGGTGAGCTGACAGCTCCCCCAGTACACCACAGGGACAGCAGCTCTGCAATTTCCACTCTTAGCCTGATCTTTCTTCACCTTTTTTGTTTGTTGGCTTTAATATAACAATCCAAACACAGAACATCAAGCTGTGCTAAAGGAAACCAAAGGGAAATATTTATGAGACAAGGAAACCTTTGTTTTTTAGTCACACAACAAACCATAGCACAGTACAAGTAAAAAACCACAGGTTTTACTTATTTTGATGTCATTCCCCTACCTTGACGTGACTGAAATCACCAACTTTGCTGCTTTCTTGGGGATTAAGAGGTTTGGTCTCCACTCTTGGTTTGACAACCTGCCTGAAAGGACTGGAGAGTGGGAGTCCACTGACACTGATTCCATCTGGAAAACAGAACAAAGAGAATTACTTTTGCTCGTCTCATGCTATCTTTTGTTCCAATTAATTTCTAGCTTATTATCAAAGGGAGAGAAAAGACACAAAAAGTGATATTAACCTTTTACACAAAAAGACAAAACAAAAGACCAAGATTGTTTGGCTGTTTCTCCCAGGACACCAAAAATAATCAAACTTGAACACACCAAAAATTTGGTGAATATCACAAGAAAGGATAGAAACTGCATTTGAAATATCACAACAGAGATGTCAGAGTTAATAATATAAAATAAGCTGTAACATTTACAGTATTAAAATAAAAATCAAAGTTTGTGGTTTTTCATGACAATGTCATCCAATCAGCTCCTTAGGATCCTTAAATTAATTTTTAGTATAAAGATTTCATTTTAAAGTGTATTGTGGAAAATGACAGAAAATAGAGATGTCATGTTTTGTATATCTACTAAGGCAAAAATAGATAAAATAGTTCTCATTTATAAAGGAGGCAGAATGGAAACTTAAGGTTTCCATTTTAAGAATCAACAAAAATCTTAAAAATACCCTGAGAGGAATGTCCTGAGAGTTTGGAGCTTACTCCCAGTCTGGGTCCTGGCATACACTGGATGACAACACAACAACTTAACAGCTTCTTTACTGCCAACAAGGTGTAACTTGAAGGTAAATAAATGCACTGCAGCACATTTGGGGTCCTTAACCCAAAAACTCTAAGCACAAATTTAAAATATTTGGAAATTACTGCTGAATCAAAAGAATTCGAAGAACAAGAGAATTAGAACAAGGAAGCTTTAACAAACAGTAAAAATATATTCACTATTTGTTACTATTTACATCCAAAGAAGAGAAACACTTTGTTATTTGATGCTGTGCAGAGCAACTGCAATCCACAAATACCAAGTAAATACAAGCAAAATCTCATGTACAGCAGCAGAAACATAGAGCTGAACACACAGGAAAAACCAAATTGTGACACAAAATCCAAACGAATTTCCTAAATTGCTCCTGTGAAATTTGGACATATTGAGGATACATTCCTCAAAAGAAGAAACCATAAGAACAAGATGGAACATGAAAAGGGTTTTGCTTCATTAAACTTCACAGGTATCCAAAGGAAAAAACAAAGGGAGTATTCCCATATTCCCTTACTTGCAATTTCCTTCACTAAATAATTCTAAAATTCACCTTAGCATTGAATAAATGTCCTAAAAGTGTCCTATCCCTTCCTGGGGGAGAGCAGGACAGGAGGTGAGAGCACCCTGCCCATGCAGTGCAGCAGGACCATGAACAGGACAAAACACAGAAATAAACTACATTTGATCACAGGCTTTGAAAGCTGCTCTTTCAAAATGAAAATTAGAAGTTTTAATTGAGGAAAAATATTCTTCTCCAACTGATGAATGATTTTCACTAGTTCTATATTTAGAACAAAAACTGACACTGACTGGTGCATAAAATTGCAAATTAAAACATGAAAAGAACCCAGTATGAAAACCTGCATGGCATTAGTCAGATTTTCCACTTTTTATATGGCATGAGCTTTATTTCTTTGAGAGAAGAATAGATAATACCTAAAAACACATCACAGAGATACAGCTAATGCCTTTCTTAATTACTTTATCCTTTAAAATCCCATTTTATTTTTAATTTCTATAGTGGGGGAGGGAAAGAAAAGACAATAGTTTAAACATTTTCTCTGGAAAGAAGACATTTTTAACTCTAATTTGTATCTGGAAAAGGAGGTTTTCTAGCAAAGGAGACATCAGGATGAAAGGGAAGTCCAAGTTAACTTGGTAGTGGTTGAACTTTCTGTGTCCAGTCTGTGGCACTCTCACAGAGCCAGTGCCAGGCACTTTGTGATGCTGCAAATGACTCAGCCCTTCTCAGCCTGGACTGCTCAAGACAACTTCTCCACCAGAGAACACAAAAAATCATTTTCTACCACAAACAATTATTTTTTAAAATTTTTTTTTTGTTCTGTTCTTTGAACAGGCAGCAATGGGAGAAGAGACCTTGCCCAGCTCCCCTGCAATACATTAAATAGTTAGAATGGGGGAAATCCTGTTAGAAACCCTGCTAGGCTGCAGAACTTAATGATGGCAGGAGAAAACACTGAGCACCAATGAAGCAGGTCTCCAGAAATTTTACATTATTGATATTTTTTGAGATTTCATACATTTCATTTTCTCTTATGAAGTTTAGAGAGATGAAGATGCTAAATCCTCCATAGTTTCCTTTTGTCAATCCCTACTGTCAAACATCCTTGAGCAGCCTTGTACTATATAAAAAGTACAATTATCTTTCTATTCTGTCCAGAAATTTTCCTAATTTCAACAATCCACCCTGAATATTTCCATGGTAACAGCATATGACCAACACTTTTCCCATGGTAACTGCAAAAACACAGCTTGCCTTTCCAACATCCCAGTCACTGCTGTCACAACAGAGCAAAATCTCTTACCAGCATTTCCTCTCTCCTATCAAATGTTAAGTAAATTGTCAATTTAACTTCATTAGCCACTTTCCCAGCACACTGCACAGAAGAATCCCACAGAATTTCTTACTTGAATGAGGGAAGTGCATTCAGGGAGTTAAACCCATGGATGTACACTGCAGTAACTGAGCTCAGAAGGAAGAGGTGGGACAGCTCCTGTCCCATGTCACACTCTGCTCTGCCTGTCCAGGGGACAAAAATGCATCCACTTTTTCAACAGGTTCATCACAGCCATGGAGGTGCCAAACTCCACAGCAAGGAAACACTTTAAAACTGTTCCAGTGACACCACAGAGGTTGGGGTTCTGAGGCAGTGTCCAGGCAATTCCATGTCACACAAAATGGAAACTGTGGAAGGTTTTAGGCAGAAGTGCTGCTTCTTTCCAGGAGAATTTCATACAATCCAACAGCAGTGCAGACCTGCTTCCTGCAGCTTCCTCAACAGCAGCACAGGGACCCTGAGAGGGGCAGGAGGAGGAGGAATCCCAGAATTATTCAGGTAAGAAAAGGCCTCAGAGATCACTGAGTCCAGCCTGTGACCAGACATCACCACATCCATCAGATCAGAGCCCAGGTGCCACATCCAGTCCTTCCTGAAACACCTCCAGGGATGGAGGCTCCACCACCACCGTGGGCAGCCCATCCCAGGGAGGGCAGGGGGGGCTGCTGGCCTGGAGCAGGATCCCCTCCTGCAGCCCAGGGATGTTCCTGGGGGTGTTCTGCCCCTCTGCTCTGCTCTGGGGCTCCCATCATCAAAAGGATTTGGAGCTGCTGGACCAGTTCCAAAGGAGGCATCAAAGATGCTCAAAGGGCTGGGATGCCTCTGCTCTGGAGACAGGCTGGGAGAGCTGGAGCTGTGCAGCCTGGAGAAGAGAAGGCTCTGGGGAAAACTCAGAGCCCCTTCAGGGCCTAAAAGGGATCCAGGAGAGCTGGAGAGGGACTTTTTGCAAGGCCATGGAGTGACAAGACAAGGGGGGTGGCATCAAACTGACAGGGAGAAATTCTTTATCCAGAGCATGATGAGGCCCTGGTACAGGTTGCCCAGAGAATTTGTGGATGCCCCATCCCTGGAAGTGTTCAAAGCCAGGTTGGATGGGGCTTGGAGCAACCTGGGATAGTGGAAGGTGTCCCTGCCCATGGCAGGGAGGTGGAATGAGATGATCTTGAAGGTCCCTTCCAATCCAAACCATTCTATGATGCTATGTCACAGAATAATAGAGCTTTTGGAAAGGACACAGCTTGATCATAACATATGAAAACTAACTGCCACTTCAACCCATTTGTTTATTTTGTCAACTCTTGCCTGATTGAAATTTCAAAACAAAAGTCTCTTGGTAGGCAGTATCTCATAAGAACACTGTAACAGCTTTGAAGTACTTTAAACATGCAGAAAAATAGAAAAAAAAAATAACTTGAGACAGGAGACAGACTCTGCTTGCTGAACTTGAATGTCTTTTATTTATTTCCCCTAGAAAAAGAGAACTGTATTCTCATGATGTGTGCAGAATTCTAGAAACTTGCTGTGTGCAGCAACAAAGAGTAGAATAACTCCAGAACACAGAGTTTGAGGCAATATTATAATCCACCCTTCACACTTCAGGTGGGCACTGAGATGCAGCTCCTTCCCTCTCTCAAAAATGTGGTCAGGACCATCACAGGAGGGAGCCCAGGCAGCAGCAGCACTCCAGGCAAAGTTCCTGGGAATGCAGCAGCTCTCTGGCTCAGCCAACATGAACCAGACTTGAGCCCTTCCTTGAAACCCCATTACCTTTGAAGACAATAATTAACAATAACAAATGCACTGTAAGGAAGGATTTATGTCCTGAGGTTGTTGAACTGAACTAAAATTGGAAGACAAATTTACAATAAGGGTGAATGCAGTGAAAGAGAACAAATGAAGTGTAAAGAAGTACATAATAAACACTAGAGATTATGTATGCAGATTACATTAGATGCTAAAATAAAGTGCCCCAGCAAAGGAACAGTATAAAAGGATGGCAGGTTTATTGGCCTGTATGTGCCAATAATCAATTTATTGTTATTTGCCTCATGTCTGTCCTAGTTATTTACATTGTAAAGATTTGGGGTCTGAAACTCCAACTCTCTGTGTATTTGTGCAGTGGCTGCAGTACTATGGCACTTAGATACTGTTAAAAAATCCCACCCTGTATTAGTCAAATCATGAGACAAGATGATTTATCAGGTTTAAAGTGCAGTGGGAAGAGAAGAGGACACCTTATCTTCCATAAGCACTAAAGCTGGAATTCAAGAAGAATTCTGTAGTTCTCAAAAAAATTAAGAATATTTTTTAAAGTTACACAGTGATGAATTTATGGAGGACACAGAAGCGTCTGTATTTTTAAAAAGTATAACAAAAGGGGAAAAACCCTCATTTACTCATTTCAACAGTACAACCAAACTGGCATCTTCAAACTGCAGAGACAAAAAAAAACTTCTTAGAAATGAAGTCACTTCAAAAGAATACTCAGAATAATTAAATGTAATAAAGGCTACTAAGCAGAGTAACATGGAAATTATAATACTGCAACATCTCTGAGGACCCCATCATCATCATCACTGATACCATTATCCTAATAGAGTCCTCCAGGCTACTTAGTTTCTTGGAAGAACTGTCAAGAGAACATTTAAATTCCAAACCAGGTATCATTCCAAAAAAAAAAAAAAAAAAAGCTTTGTCTGTACACTATGTAAGTGCAGGGACATTTTAAAGCAGATAAAATCTGGCCATTAAAGCAGAAAAACAACAAAGGGAGTATGAAAAATACACTGGTCTTGCATACCAATGTTAAAAAATATTCGAGATTAGTGCTCCTAGAAATATGCTATTATTGCTCTGCAGCCTTTTTCCCCATGGAGTGATGCCTTCAGTTTTAGCTTTCATATTTCCAGATTCTGTACTGCATTAGTGTATAACTCTGAACTTCATATAAAGTGCTAGCAAGTTCTCCTCACAGCTTAGTCAGACAAAACAATCCTTGTCCAGCCCCAGAACCAAGGATGCTATTGCAGCTTCAGGCCCAAAAAGTGCAAACAACAGAGAATTGAGGGGAGCAAACTGGGAGGATGGGACTTCATAACCTGAAGCTGTAATTGGACAATTAACCCAATATGTAAATGGACCAAAACTTATAAAAGTGGGCAAACTTGTGACTCTGAGTCCATCTTGGGTGGAGCCATGGCCAGGCTCTTGCACTGCCCAAAGTGTGTCCTTTAAAGGCCTTTTTAATAAATCCCTGCTTTATTCCTTTAACACTGCCTGGCCTCTGTTCTAGGCAGCCTCTCCAGGCATCAAGAGAAGGGAAGCAGAGACTTAAGGCACAGGTTTGCTTCTCTCTCAATGTGTAATTAATTAGTTCCTTTGATGAGTTTATGAATTTAAATATTCTCACACTTGTCTTCAGGTTCCCTACACAGGGAATAAATGAACATTAACATTCTACATAATGAAGTACTCATTGCAAATTAATTCATTAACTTTAAAAAACTCTGTCCCCACCTAACAGGAGCTTTGTTAAAAGCCTCAAACAAGTCACTGTGTCCAATACAAGAAAGAGCAGCTTTTGTTCTCACCCCATTTTTAGTGCCAGGGAAATGCTGAATTTCAGAAACTGCAGTATAATAGCTGGAAAGGGGAATTCATTATGCTCATAATGTGAATACCCTGTTGACCTTTTTAGTCACCTTAACAGGTGACAGAGATCTCAGTGCTTCAGCTGCTTGCACCTGGCTGCACCAAGCACATTCAGGGCTTCCCTCTGCCTCACCCAGTGTAGCGACCTCAGAATCAAATTAAATGCCCATGCTGACCTTCTCAGCCAGAGGAGGAACACTGAACCATCCAGCTGAGGGACAAGAGATCCAAAATTTCACTAAGATTTGTAGCAAACATGGATCTCCCTGCATGGATCTCCCAAATCTTGGCCAACTGGCTTTAAGGCATGGAACCACAGAATTGTTAAGGTTGGAAAAAACCTTGAAGATCATCCTTGTTCAACTCTCAGCCCAGCACCACCATCATGTTCACCACTAAACCACGTCCCCAAGTGTCCCATCCACACATTTTTTGGAACACTTTCAGGGCTGGTGAAGCTGGTGAACAGGGCAGGCTGTTCCAAGGTTTTCCAACCATTTCAGTGAAGAAATGTTTCCTAACATCCAGTCTAAACATCCCCTGCTGCAACTTGAGCCCATTCCTCTCGTCTTTTGCTGCCTGGGAGAAAAGACCAACACCCAATAAAATGACAAAATTCAGCATAAATAAATGGGGGGAGAGAATCCTAAACTTATACATGCAGCAAGAAGCTCTCAGGATATCATTTCTGTTGAGAAGCAAGATCATGGAATTGTGGTTCACACATTCATGAATCTCCCAAATCAATGTTCAGCAACAGTCAAAAAAGCAAATGATAAATTGTGCATTACCCCATGATTGTAAAGACAGTAATCTAAAACAAAGAGCACCATTAGGTCATCACATGAACATATAGATCAGCTTTCAGTGTGTACAGCCTCCTTCAAACAGACAGAGCTGAGAGTTCAAAAGGGACAAGGCTGACATTGGAACAGTTCCCATAGCAGGGACAACTAAATCAACAGTTAGAAATCCCCAGTCTGCTGTGACAATACCCTGGGAAAATGCATTGAATCACTGCAGGAACCATGTTGAGAAGATGTCCTGTTACCTCTCTCATGGAATTAAAAACCTGGGAACACAAGGCCACCACTAAATGCAAAGCTGCTAAAAAGTAATTTAGCTGTGACTCTCTTTGCCATGGCGTGTTGTGAAGAGCTGACAGGAAGAATGGAGAATTTTAGGATGGAGAAACCCACTAAGGATGAGTAGAAGTGCCTAGAACCAGAGAAACCATATTCAGCCCTGGGAGCTCCTAAGCTAACAATAGTTAGAGGTCTGGAGGAAAGCAGAAGTGCACAATTTTTCCTGTATTTTCCCACTGGAATCTGCTCTTAGCCACTGTCACAGTCAGGATATTGGCTGGATGGTCACTGATCTGATCCTGTACAGCCACTCGTGGTTTTGCATCCTTAAATCTGGAAAAACACCCAACATTTTTCTCTGTGAGGCAGCACATCATCAACACACCTCAGCAATTCAGATTGATAACTTGGTTTACTTTCCAATTGGATAAATGTGTATCATCAAAAACATCAGTAATTTATCCCTTCTGCACCATGTCCTGATTATACAGTGCAAAAGGAAACAATTCCAGCAGCAAATGAAAAGACATGGAAGTAAAAATTGCCCTACTAAAGACATTGCTTTTAAGAGACAGAAGTATTTTTGATCATCATTGTAAATGTAGTTGGTCTTCAAAATAAAAAGGTACCACAGTACCCTATGATTAAAAGTCTTGTCATAGTTGCCATTGATTTTTCTAGCTCTTTACTGTTCTTCCCATCAGGCTCTTACCTCCTCTTTGGAAACTTCAGCATTTGTAAAGTTAAAAGCAATATATAAAAAATAAAGTAGCAACTAAATTTTCAATATACTTAACATCCCTAATAACACTTTCAAAGGACAGAGAGTACACAGCACCCACAGATACCAAAGTTCCAACGAAGCAGGAATGGATCCTACTTCTTTGTCATCACTAAATGAGGAAAGATAGAATTGCTTCAGCTGCACAACCTTTAGAGAAGCAGGAGGTAATAGTAGGGTAAAAATGGTGTTCAAAGATTTTGTTCATCTGTGGCCCCATAAGAGCTGGATGCAGTTTAACAGAGGTCAAAATCCAAATCCCAAATCCCACAAGTGTTCAATGTCCATATCATGAAGTATGTTATCTTCACCTCCTACAGAATATTTGGGGTTTATGTTATTTCATCAGAAAAGCTCCCAGACAAGTGCAGCTTCAGAGCTTTTTGGAAACTGGGGAAATGAAGGAAATTTTCCATATATTTGTGTGCATATATATCTATATATATATACATATTTACTATGAAACCTCACTTGCTATCAAGAGGAATTTCTCAAAGTTCAGTTCCCTGGCACCTGTGTCTTCACAATGTCAGGGTGTGCTCTCCCTTCACTATCAGCATTTTCAACAAGCTCTAAACTGAACTGCAGTGTAGCAACACTGTAGAGTTTGTGCAGTAAAGTTTTAAAATATTTTGAAAGTATCTTTATATTTTACATTAGGGAGGTTTCAAAACCAAAATCTTTCAATCATTACTAACAACTACTATAATTTTTGTCTAAATGCATTTGCAAGGTAACTCACAGAAATCATTCCTATTCAACCTGAATAAGCTCTGCATGTAATTTTGTTGTATTCTTCTGTACTGAAAGATTACTTATAAAGGTAATGCAGACCTGCAAGTGGATCCTGGGAAAAAATCCAAATAAAAGGGAGTTTTTAAATACAGGACTATCTTGTTTTATCAAGGTAATTTAATCAGTGCAAACATATCAGACAAAGGAAAAAATACAGAGTAGAGTAATTACTCCAGAAAGACTGTGTGTTTATTAGAAAAAGGAAATCCTTATTACAAGTATCTGGTACTTGTAATTCCAAATAATTCTAATAGAAGCAAACACTGAGGCTTCCTTTTATTCAAAATAAGTTTAAACACATGGCACTTTCTCTGCAGTACAAATATTAGGGGGATTCTGCCTTAAATTTCAATCTGTCACTTTAGGCAAAACTGCACTCAGCAATTATTCAGAATTCTACAATCCTGGATAATTAAATAATCAACTCAATTTTTCTTTAAACCTTACTAAAGTTCGTGAAATATTTTTATTTACCTTTATAATGTAAGGATACAAAAAGATACCTCAAAACCACCCAAAATATTTTAAAAGGCAACAGGGCAAGGTCTCCTGATGGGGAAGCTGGGCCAGACTCTCATGCCCACAGCTCTCTCAAAAAATCCCCCTTCAACCTGCAGAGCTCAGCCAAGGGCTGACTTTGCTTTACAAGACACAAATACTCAAACATGCAGCCACATCCCAAATCAGTTTAACACAAAGGGCACAGCAATTAGCAAAGTGTTTCCAGCAGCACATACAACCCTCCTAAGCAAGCAGAAATGAAAAACTCACCATCACTGAGATCCTGCAGAAGGTTTTCTTGGCAGGAAAAGTCCAGCTTCACTTTAATGTTTACAACAAATGTTGCAATCTTTCCAGGTTTTAGAGGAAACTGGCAGAGGGTGTCTTCTAGATTCCAACTCAAGAAATCTCCATACAGCTTCTCTGTATCAAAAAAAGTAAATATTTCATAAGCATAAGCCCTGCATTAAGGAAGTTTCAGTTTTGAACTGCTGTAGAGAGTACTAACCAATCTCTCATGTCCTGTTTAAAATCTAAAATATTCAGAATTAATGTATTAAAATTAATGTAGCACTAGAAAGATAGAGAAGTTACTTGGTACTGACGCTGACCTGGAATCATACAGATCACAAAGCTCAAAATATGAATTTATGTGAAGAAGATCACTACCAGAAAAAAAAAAAAAAAAACAAACCCTGCACAATAGGCAGCATTAAATATAAACTTTAAATATAGCCTGCAGGGGTTCTAAATGTTCATGTAGTTTTGAATCCTACACAGTTCAGCTCAGGAGGTGTCACATGAATGCAAAGCACTTTTCATCAAAATAACCCAAACTTAATCAGCTGAAATTCTGAAACAGCTGTAACATCATTCTTCAGTTATTTACTGAGCAACAGAGAAGGCAAAGAGGACTACTGGCCTTCATCCTTTTATAAAGTCCTTTCTTAAAGCTGAGAAGCAGCTTTTTAAAAACCCAATCATGAAGGATGCCAGACAGAATTAGTCAGTGACAAAAGAAAATTTGTTTAATAAATTATTTGTCATTTGTCCACTTGATATAGGGGACAAATTAATTATTAAGTAATTAATGTAATTATTAAGTTCTTCCTCATGCCAGAAAATTATACAAGGGGGAAAACCCCAGAATTTACTGTTCATCTACACTGGGTCTTCAGTTTTGGCCAGGGTCAACCCACCCCCTCCATAAATTCACTCCTATATGCAAGACCAGCCAATGCTAAATACTACAACAAAGTCTATTGGTACAATAAATAATCATGATGGTTTGGCTGGGACAGCCCTAAAGATATATTTATTGATTTATTATAGCAATGCATGTTATCACCAAAGTATATTGGAGAATTCTTCTAAAAGCTGATTTAAACACCTTTTGAGCACAGCTTTGCATAACAGGGAGCACTGAAAGTCACCAAGTTCATCTCTACATCCTCCCAGGCTACTTGGTAAGAACAAGGTAATTAAAATCTGCTGTGATTTCAGAACCTTTCCAAAACCACCCTCTAGGATCCACAGGTGAGGGAACAGGATGGGCAGACTGTCTCAACTACCACAACCTGGAACAAAGGATCTTTCAAAAGCAGCAATCAGAATTCCAGATTATGTCCAAATCATGTTGATTTGCACAGGAACCTTTGGTTTCCCTTTCTAGGAAAAGAAGAAAACAAAGAGAATATTTTTTCCATTAACTTCTACCTAAAAAATAAAAGCTTTGCCTGACAGGCATTCTTTTTACAGAGCATCAGATGTTGTCTTTTCCCACCAAATCAACAGTACAGATTTCTTTATTAAAAAAAATAAAGACAAGGTAAAAATAAAAAATCCTCCCAAAAATTATTTCCTTAATCTCACTTCCACCTCACCTAATGATTTAGCTGGAACCATATGACCATTGATTATTTTCTTCTACTTTCAAGAAAAAAAAGTAAGTTAATAAGTATGGCATTCTCTATCCTTTTTTCCTGTTAAGTAAAAATCCAATATGCTCAAGGAGTGTTTTCCCTCAGTGTAAACAAAGAAGGACATATCCCAGGCAGTGGAGCACCAAACTCTTTCCAAAATGTATTTTCATTCATTAAGAGATCTATTTGAAGACATTACAAGTGAAAAGACTTTTGAAGTGAGAACAGTCCTTGCAGATACTTTCTAATTAACACCAGTAATTACAACACAAGATCTAAATGCTGGAGCTAAAATCTAAGCTGTAGATGTGGAGAAACAGCTAATTTATATTTATCTGACTCTTGGTTATAGTTTAACAATGTTGACCTAGTTCAGTAATCAGCATTACAGTGAATTCTACTCTGGCTTCAGACCCCAATTCAGTGGAAGGCTGAACTGGGGCAAGCCTGCACTCAGCTCTTTCTCAAGCCCAAAATTTGTGTTTAGCAAACAAGTTACAAGCAACTGTTTTCAGGAGTTGCAAATAGAACCTGTTTCGTTTTAGTGGGTGCTAAATCACTAAAATCCTAACAAATATCACATAAAAGCTTATCCAGAAACTAACTTTGGGTCATCCTAGACCACTCTAACTTTTAACAGATATTAAGGTCTGCCAAAGAAAAAGTCCACACTGATATTTTGCATAGAGAAACTTGGTAGAAAAGTCTTCTGACAACACAAGAACCTCAATTCTTTTCAATCTTAAATCCCCTGGTAAATCTGGCTTTTTGCTATAGTTTATTTTATAAACTCAAAATAACTATCAGTTCTAAATGCACAGGCATTGCCATTCACACATTTTAACTTCTCCTAGACTTGGTGGATAGAAATGAACCTGCAGGACTTGTTATGCTCTTTCCAATGAGATAAAACATTTAGGAAGGAAAGAAGTTATTGCACAGAAGCAATTGTGCTCAGAGCAGAGTGGGAATATGTGAGAGGAGCAACTCTGCAGACACCAAAGGTCAGGGGAGAAGGAGGGGCAGGAGATGCTGCAGGTGCCAGAGCTGAGATTCCCCTGCAGCCCAGGGAAGGACTTCTCTCCCTGAACAGCAGCAGGACCAAGGTGGGATGAGCTGAGAGCAGCCCCCAAACCCCCTCCTGGAAAACCTGGGAAAGAGGGAGTGTTGGGAAGAGGTGTTTTCAAGATATATTTTACTTTCAATATATATTTTATATATTTTATATACATTTTATGTTTTACTTTAATATATTTTATATATATTTTCAAGGTATTTCACACTTCTTATTATCCTGTCCAATTTTCTTAGCAATAAAATTAAATTAATATCCCCAAGGTGAGTCTGTTTTGCCTGTGACAGAGATCCATGGATGATCTCTGCTGGTTCTTAATCCATGAGATTTTCATTATATTTTCTTCTCCCCAACCATTTGTGAAGGGAGTGACAGAGCAGCTTTGATGGTGTCTGACATCCAGCCAGGGCCAAACCACCCCAATAACCCAACTCCAATTTAAAAGAATTTGCCAAGTTTTCTTTAGCAAAAAAAAGGTAAATAGATCCAGCCCTGGATATTCACAGATCTTCCTGAACCTCAGAGCAGATTCTTCATTTGTGCTCTGGCAGATGTGTTCAAAGGCCATGGGAAGAATGCAGCTGGACAGGTGAACCTGTTTCTCTGCATTTAAATTCCTGAGGTCTGTCACTGCTAGGAAAGATGAGTGAGGATTTGGCTTTATCCAGGTTCATTCCATGTGTGTAGCTAAGATTGCCAAGTGGGCTCTTGTCAAGTCTCAAGTCTGAAAACACCAGGGTTATATTTGCCCCTCAGTGGATCAAATAGTTGGTTTATCACAGCATTTTGACTGCACTCCCTTATCTGAGACATAACAAGCCTCTAAAAAAAGCTGACTGGAGCCAAAGGGAAAGCATCCAGCTCTGCACAGGTCATCTTTCCAAAAAAAGGATTAAACTGTCTGACCCGGTGAGGGACACTGTAAGGTGACACAGAGCTGACCCTGACAGCATGGACATGTGATGTCCAACCTGCAGAGGCCCCAGCCTGGCTCAGGGCTGCAGTGAGACACTAAAAGCCATGACAGACATGTCTATTGTGGCAGCCTGACAAGTCCCTCTTGCTGATCTGCCTCAGGATCTGTTCTGTAACACGGAGCTGCTGAAGGACTCAGAACCCTGGGATGTCCTTCATGAACTGCACAGGGGGAGCTGCAAGCCCTTATTTATCCGAGGGCCAGAGCAGAAAACCCAAAGAGCTGCACCTGATGGTGACAGAAGAGAGGTAAGGGAAGGCAAGGGTGAAATTCTTACCTCCAGAGGTTCTCATTAAGATGACACCACCCACAACAATGCCAGAGGAGTTGGTTTCCTCAGGGACAGTGACTGGCTATAAATCCAACAACAGTAAAAAAGAGAATGTTTGCCATTTACAGCACTCATCTTTGTGCTAAAAGCTGTGGCTCCAGAAACAGAAAGTAGGGAAATGGGTCAGGCAGGCAGCAGCTGCAAGAGATTCACAACTGCCAAGACAAAAAGAACCAAAGGAAATGGGGTTTAACAAAAGATGACTGAAAGCTCTTTGTGTTTGGCTGGAATTGGCCAAAGCTTCTCATGGGCTCCTGAGCTGACTGGCAAGCTGTGGTCAGGCAAATGAAGGTGACCACCAGCTCTCAAGGACACCTTGAGCAGTTTGAACAGGGACATTTCAGTACAGAACCACCAAGGGACAAGTTCTTAACACGCTCTGGACACCTGCACATGCTCTCAACTTGATGTGGAAGACCAAGAGTTTGTGTGGCTGTTAGAGATGGTTTAATGCCCTGTCCCCAGGAGTTCCTGCATGTATTCATGACCAAAAGGAGCTGCTGACATTACAAACCTTGTGTTCCCTGTTGGCCACCAGAATCCCATCTCACTGAATTGTCAGCCCAGCCTCATCCATTTGTAAGAATTTAGGGTCATAACTCAAATGGAAGAGAGCCCATGAAAAAGGGCAATGGTTCATCCCCAACACAAGAAAGACCTGTTGGAAGAAGTCAAGAGGGGGCACTAAGTTGATCACAACACCTCTGCAATGAAGACTGAGAGAGATGAGGTTGTTCATCCTGGGGAAGAGAAGGCTCTGGGTGGATCTTAAAGCCCTGTCCAGTGCCTAAAGGAGCTCCAAGAGAGCTGCAGATGGACTTTGGACAGAACCAGGGGAAATGGCTTCAAACTGATAGAGAACAAGTTTAACTTAAGTATTGGGAAGAAATTCTTTACTGTGAGGGTGGTGAGGCCCTGGCACAGGTTTCCCAGAGAAGCTGTGACTGCCCCATACCTGGAAGTGTTCAAGGTCAGGCTGGATGGGGCTCTGAGCAATCTGGAATAGTGGAAGGTGTCCCTGCCCATGGCAGGAGAACTGGAAGTCCAAGATTTTTAAGGTCCTTTCCCACCCAAACCATTCAGTGACTGATTCTATGACACTCTGCAACACCTCCATGCAATCACATTTGAAATAACATAATTATTGTATACTTAATGTAGACTATTATTTCTTCTAATTAGCCTTTTCCAGTGCTTTACATTGTTTCCACAGCAGTCATTTGAAGAGTCACACTTAAGTTTCTTTTTTTCCTCCAGTAACAAAGTTCATCTCTAGCACACAGCTCCAAATACAGGGGTGCATTTCACTTCTGTGAGACAATGCAAGAAACCGAACATTCTGCTTGACAGGACCCTGGATCACCTTAAGTTCTGCTTTCAAAAGAAGGTTAAGATGATTTCCAGAGGTCCCTGCCCACACAGACATTTCTGATTGCATGATTCTGATGGCACAGTTCTCATGCTGTCAGAACAAATATCATTCAGTGCCTCTCAAAACTCACTTCTGTTTTTCTGAGAGAAGGACTTAAGTTGCATTTTTTGAGTATGCATGCTTATAGCTTTCTCATCAGAAATTTTCCTTTTTCTGATAATATGCCTAATAACATTAAAGACACTGTCAGATACACAATGGGGCTTCATTGCAAACATCTTTGATAGAGAAAGAAAATACAGGATGAAGCTCAATTAAAAGTTCTACTGAACTTAGAGGTGAGTGTATCAACTATTCTCCTTTTCCCCCACTGCTTTTAACAAAAGTTGTCATGCAGATTTTAAAGTTAGCATGAGTCTTTTTCAACATTGTGAACCCATTAACTGTGTAATGTTACATACAAAAATTCTGATTAACATGTGACTCACAGGCCCATATATTCCACTATTCAATACATAAATTTCTCCATTTCACCTGAGTGCTGTATTTGGCCTCTCCACTCCATACATGCAGCCCCTGGCCCAGGAGGAGCATGTTGGAATTTCTGAAATAAGAACTGTACGTCATCATAGGTTTCAGCTCCTAAAACTATTCCTGGTAACAAGTCTCAGACCAAAAATCTATTTTGAGATGATTGGCAACTCCTATTCTCTGAGGTTGTGGAGAAAGGGATATTCTGTTATAAAAACATCAGAAGCTTGAGTACTGAAATGAACAGAAATCACAAGGTATCACACTGCATTTTAATGCTTTGGCACTGACAGAATAAAACCTGCAATAAAATAAGGTATTTCTACTGTCAGTAAAGATTATGTGCTTGTCACCTGCAGTGCTTCTGTTAAGATCATTTTCATAACAATCCCTCAGAGGACAAACCAAAAAAAAATACATCACAAAACAAAAGCAGGACTCACCTATCAGACCATTTTTAATACTAACATGGACAGAGCATTTCAACAGAATTAAGTGTACACAGGGGATGTGCTGTATTTCATCCAGAGCTTCAATTATTCTTTTAACTCACAATAGTTTATTTTATTTATTGCCTTGTCTTTTAAAGACTTCTCTCTATTTTTTTTCCTTACTGCTCACTGAGTAAGACAGAAACAGGCTTATTTACTTCCACTCCCTCAAGTAGGACAACATTACTGCTAATAGTAATTTATTTAATGAACTAATCAGCATATTTAGACATAAGGAGAAAATAATTTAAACCCAAGATTCTTTCTCATTACAAGTAATTGCCTCAGGATTTTTTCCCCAAGTAACACTGAAATTAAATTTAGATTTCCAAAAAGCAGATGACCCTTTAACACAGGGATGGTTCTACAATTTCCTTCATCTTTCTACATTTTCTTACATTCTCTTTCATTTCTATATTTCTACAATAAAATCAAACTTAATTATTCCAGCTCTGTAATGGGGAATATGCTATTTATTCTAAACTGACCTAAAAGAAGTATAACACAAATAATCTCCCTTTCAACAGAGAGGAAGTCAGGATAAATATTTCCCAATGTAAATCAGCATACACACCCTTGGTGTTGACTGTTTTTGCTGTCACCTCCAGTTTCTCCAAAGGTTCTGTTCCAATATTTTCTAATTTAATGATGAGCTGCTGGGTCTCTCCATTGTACAGCTGGACAGACACATTAGTGGAGATTTCATCCCCTGAAGAAGGCTGAAGTGTATGAGCAGACCTACAAAATGTGACAAACAAATCATTATGATGAAAATGTTAAAAGCCTGTCCTGGTTACTCTATTCACTATTTTTTTGGAAGACTCAGAAACTACTGCTGAAGACACTAAATAACATTTTCCATTCCCATTTTTAGAACCATTGAGGACCAAAATTAATAATTTATGCATGAGACAAGTCAAATTTAAAGCAATATAGAAGGCATATTCTAACTCTGAAAGCTTGTTAAAATACCTGCAAAAACTGTAAGGAAGGGGAAAGGAAAAAAATATCAAGAGCAGGTTGTCGTATTTGCAGGATTCCCAGACAAAGGGAGGAATATGAATGTGACTCCATGTTCTTAGCAGGCTAATTTCTTATTTTATGACACTATATTATATTAAAAATACTAAACTAAACTATACTAAAGAATACAGAAAGGATACAGACAGAAGGCTAAAAGGTAAAGAAGATTCATGACTCTTTCCAGAGCCTCAACACAGCTTGGCCATGATTGGTCATTAAGTTAAAAGAATTCACATGAAACCAATGAAATAATCACCTGTTGGTAAACAATGTCCAAACACATTCCAAAGAAGCAAAACACAGGAGAAGCAAATCACATAATTATTGTTTTCCCTTTTCTCTGAGGCTTCTCAGCTTCCCAGGAGCAAAATCCTGGGCAAGGGATTTTTCCAGAAAACGTGATGGTGACAGCAGGTCACTACAAGGAGCAGGTTCAGTGGACAGTGCAGGGCAGAAACCTCACAGCAGTGGATCCAGGGAAAAAATTCCCAGTGTGAAAGGTGGAACAGTGCCTAGAGATGAACTCTTTGGAGCAGGAATGAGAGAAGGAGGCTGCAGAACAAGACAGATGGGCAGAAGTTCCACTCCTGACTGCACTTTCTGTGCTAATGCAGAGTGGTCAGAAGGCATTGAGGATACAAGGACAGAAGTCACTGGGATTAATGACCAATAATTCCACTTCTTTTTGCAGGTATGCCTGCCATCCTTCCCTTTGATCCTGTCCTTCCCTACCACAAGACAAGCAGCCTCCACAAACAGGAGCAGATTTCAGTCTTTCAGAACAGATCTGTGACAAGGACTTCAACCAAGTATTTTTTGATCATTCAGAAAGTGCTGTCATGTACTGTTAGCATTTCAGGACTCTGAAATTTGAGCATGTGGAGTGAAAGGGAAGAAGGAATTTCTTTTTTCCCCCTTATATTGAGACAAAAGTATCACGGAATTGCATACTAAAAAGCAAAACAAATTATGTTTTCTGTTACTGTATAAATGTACATGTAGTTATTAGTGATTCTTCTTCTGTATATTTTTCTCTCTTATTTTTTCCTTTCTTCTGTGATAATTGATCTGAACTAACTGTCACGACTGGACTGAATTGCTAAGATATAAACAGTGAATTCTTGGCTTGATTCATCCCTCTTTGCCCAAAACCAAAGTTTTGAGCACAAAAAATATTGCAAAATTATTTCTGCGTATTTCTGTGAAATCCCATGGTTTCAAGCAGTAAAACAAAAAATTCAGGTTTGTATTCTAAAGCAAATAATGCAGACTTAGATTATGTCCTGTTTTACTCAAGTATTGATGATGCACTCAGGTGGAAAAGCTTTTATTCAGCATGTGACTAACACTTAAATACAACCTAATAAAATCATCATTTAATTTAATTTTTCACCTTGGAAGGGAGGTGCTGATCTGCAGCCTTGGCAAAGCTGGAATGACTTCAACAGTGCAGCCATTGGTCTTCACTCCGGGCAGATTGTCCAGAAGGCAATCACTGAAGACTCCAAAAACTGAAGTGTGATAACCTGATTTTTAGAAGAAAACACCAGTTATGTTGTGAATTGTACTGTTTTCTGGTAGGTCTAAAAGTACCCAAACCACCACCTTCTCCACAGGAAAATCTTCTCAGGACACATAATATGTACAGGACTTTCAAACCCCTGAAATAACAACATTAAAAACTACCTGACAATGTACAAACAACACATGGTCACCTCTGCATCTGTGGCATGTAAAATAAAATAAATTGTAAAGAACTTATGATTTCTGCAATGCATTACAGTAACTTCTGCAGAATTCTTTACAAGATCAACATCACAAGTCATAGCATGGACACCATTTTATACCTGTCACCAAATTCCTTGGGGCACATAAAACATGTCAACCTTCAACATACATTCCCTATTTCCTCTGAAAAATGTTTACAGGAAAGAATCTCAACTACATCCAGAAGGATAAAAGAATCCTAAAGGAAATTATTAATGGAAAAAATATGCATGCATGAACACAAACACCTGCCATGAAAGACTACAACTTCTGAAAGTTCAATTTAGTAGAAAAATACCTCTCCACTGATTCCTTACCAGGCAATATTTATGAGTTATATCTGAAGGAAAATTTGATACACTGACAAACAAAAAGCTGCCAAGTACAGAAATCAACTCCTCTACTTGCAATACATTTTTAGTATGTGGAACTCAAAAGGAGACAACTACAGTACAAATGTTCTGAATGCTTTGATGCTATTCTGTATTTACTGAAATAGTTTCTGAGAAAAAATAATCACATGAAAAACTGTTTTATGAGCAGACACAAAAGCACTTAAGAAGAACTCAGTGAGATCAGCTTCTTCAAGTTCAAATCCATCCTCTTTTAGAGCTTAGTTTTACCAAAATGGTTCTTATCCTGTATCCTAACTTTGCATTCCAGGAAGACATATTTAAAAATGTGATTTGATAAGATGATTCACTCCTACTACATGTTGAATCCTTCCTCTCCACATATGCCTCCTTTTCTAGGTCTGCTAGCCTTTTGTAAAAGCCCTTTAATTTTCTTCCTTACTACAAACACAGTTTTATTTAGGCTTATTAATGAAATGATATCTTGACTGCAACAGGCCATACACCCTGGCTAAATCGTTTCCACGGAAGCAATCTGCAAAAATTCCTGTAATCTTACATGAACATGATTAATTAAGGGGAAAAAAAAACCCTCAAGATTATCTTCTGCATTCTTAAGAAAAAAGTTCAAGTAATCCTCCTCAGAAGCTTTCCAAATGAAAGCATTAATAAAGGGGAGCTGGAGTTCATTATCCTCTTCCTCTCACACATGAGATACTCCAAGAATGTGCTGGTTACTGCTGCTGCAGCCAAGTGATTCATCAGGCTGTTTTTAATGAAGCCTGGTGCAGGGAACAGATTCCCTGTGTTCCTTTCTTCTTTTCCTGACTGAGGAGAATTCAGAGTGGTGAACACACACGTGGCAAACAAAGCCATGCAAGCCACAGGGGTGTAAAACTCAGGTTGTTCTGCCAACAAGGAGTGAGTGGAGCCATCCCTTACCATTGACAGTGATCTGCCCTGTGGTTTGGGGAACACCAACCAGAGTCACAGGATAGAGCCCAGATTCTGCAGGGAGGGAAAGGGCAGCAGGCAGAGACTCAAATTCTACTCCAGTTGTCAAGAGACCCTGAAAAAACACAATACACAGATAAATCCATTTATGATATACACTTACATTTTTATGCTACATACTTATATTTTAATCCCATGCTTTACATCAGCCAAACTTTTATGATTTATTCCAGTTTACTCATAGCAGTTATTCTGAGGTTTGAGTTGCAATGACTGCAGCGTGCATCCAGAATTACAGCAGGATTTGCATTCAACATGGAAATGTGTTCCAGGAACTGAGCTGGGAATGATGTATAAAAAACTAATAAAAATTTACACTCTAGCACAGTAAAAAAATCACAGATATCATCTGCATGGTGCTGTTTTGTACCTACATTTAATTGTACCTGTGACTTTAACTGAATATTTGATAGATAGTGGAAATCAAATCACTATCTATCAATATTTGATAGATAGTGGAAATCACAGGACTTGCTTAGCTTTGATTACATGCCCAAAATAAGTTTTCTAAGAGGAAAAAAAATTGTATTTACAGATAACAGGGCAAGTCTAGCTTAACCATCCAACCTAAATATTTCAGTGAGTTGGAATAATGCTTTCATTTTGCTGAACTGATCCTCTCAAGCCTAAATGCCTGCAGTTACTCCCTTAGTGTCAGAGAAATCTTTTAGCATTCTAAATTTAAAACATAGGATAAAATGAGAAATTAAGCAGAGAATAAAATCATTGAAAAAATTTCTGAGCACAGCATTACTGTTCTTAATAGACTGGGGCTTTTCTTTAAGCTTGGTTAATGAAGTGAAGATGCTTGAACATAGAATATGCTGTTAAAAGTAAACTTGATTTTGGAAAAGATATAAATTCAAGTTACCTGTTGTTTTTCTACACACATATTTCTTTTTATTTTTGAATAAAGATGCTACAAAGATCTCCATCAATAAAAGCAGTAAGCACAACTGGATTAAATCTTAACTCTGTGTGGATGCTTAATGAGAACTGAGAACCCTGTTAAAAAGGAACATACTTTTGAGAGATGAAAAAACTCACAGTTTGAGCCACAGAAAAACACATAACATATCCAAAATCTGTAAAATCTCTGTTCTAGCAATTACTTCTTTGTAGACTTGACACTCTTGAGACAACACCTAATTCACCCAAAGCTACTCTGGCTTTGTGGAAAACTGCATTAGAAAACTCTGTCCTTGAGACTGCATAAAATTCCATTTCACCATTGCACTCGAGTTGTAAATAAATATTCTGTCACACCCTCATTTCTACTGAATTTTTGCTTTCCTCCCATTTAATCCACAAAAATCCAAGTAAAACCTAACTTTGTCTTTCTGTATATTCAGCACCCAGTGTATCAGAGCACTGAGACTCTTGGATTCCCACATTAATCCTTCCAGTGAGATTCACCCCACAGAAATGGGATGAACATTCTCTCTTTAACACTGATGTAGCCTCAATCTTCACCACAATTCTGCTGCTTTTGCTTTGGCTGAAGCAAACCTTAGAACACAAAAAAAAGCTGACCCCATACACTCTCCAGAACCCACTTTTAAAACTGGTACAGAAGGCTTTAAAACTTTATTTTAGTCTCAAAACCACTGATCTATCACTTGGCTTAATATTCAAATACATTTGAATTATTCAGGATTCACCTCAAATAAAAACTTTGATCCAAGGACTTCAAGTCCTGCAAAATCAGTGATTAAAAAAACCCACAAACCCTCCAGTGTCTTGTTTACTATCAGCTGTAGCAAATGTAAATAAAAAACTGGCAGGGACCCCTAAATATTCTCTGATATGTAATGCAAACCTTGAAAACAAAGGGACTTTTTAGAGAACAGACACAATTTAAGTGCACTAAGCACACACTGTGCCTGGACTAGAAATTGAAGAGCTTCAAGTGAACTAATACAAAACCAAGAAAGCAGCATTCAATTCCTCCCCTTTCAGAGTTCCACTGATCAGTAAAACTTCCAAGTCTTGAAAAGTAAAGACATTAAGAAAACATTAAAACTCATCAAAATGGGGGAAAAAATCAATATAAAAATCAACTAGACTTCAGATTTCCAGACATAAATTGAAATCAAGATACTTACCCTTAAAACTTAGGCCACACAAGTGAGTTTTAAAAGACAGTGACACATCTTAGAATGTCTGAAAGACGATTTCAAGAGCACAATTTGCTGAATTGCACAATTCTGCAATATTTGCCCAACATTGCCCTCTGGTGCCTGAAATTTTGCAGTTTAACATTGAAAACCCAACCAAGGCTGAAGTACCCTCACATCCATTAACTAAAAAATTTCAGCCACACCACTAAAAGTAGGGAAATGTGTTAGATTTCTTTGCCTGAGAGTTATTATTACTTTATTTCAAGTAGTAATATCTAGTAATCATTTAGTCACCACTTGGTAATCATTTCTCTTTCTGACCCTACAGGAATATATCATCCAAATCCAAGGTTTCCTCCATATGAGTCATGCACACAAAAAAATGTTTACATTTCTTTGTATTCTTATAAAACAATTTAAATTGTCTTGGAGAGAATTTATGCATGCTTTTATCACAGCATGTCTTTCAATCACTGCAGATCTCATTTTAGTTTTAGAGGAACAAAACAACTTGCATGTAAAAGGCAGCATTTGGGGATGCTGTTAAAATAACAGGAGTATGTAACTGCTTTTTTTAGGCTTTACTTACCAATCCCAAACTGCAATCATTCTTTTTTTTAAAGTAACACGACCTTCAAAGTTACTTTCCATGCTGAACATACTTGTATACCATCTTGTCAAATACTTTACACAAAAACTGTCGAATATTTATTTTAAAGGAAAATTTCCCTACTATTTCTAATATGGTTATTTCAGGCAGACCTAGAAGAACACCAAACACAACCATTTTTATTCTTTTCCCCCCTTCACCTTTCTGTATACATTCTTGACTAAAACATTCTCCACTAAACGTAGTGTAGCAGTAATTAAACATTCTCTCAAGACAGCAGAAACAGCAAAAGATGTGAACTCAGGAAAGAGCAGTTCATGGAAACAATTTAAACCATCATAAGCAAAGTTGTGGGACTGATTATACATTCAGATTTATCAAAATTTTAGATGCTCTTTTTAAACATCAATGTAGAGCTCTTGAGTAATAGCACAATTTTCAAGTTTTTTTAAAAAAAGCAATGGCCATTCTTAAAGCATCGTTAATCAAAATACCAGAGCTGATTGTGTTCAAATAAATACAGGTCCCAAACAGAAGGAGAACCACAGAAAAAGTACTTAATTCTTGAATAATGACAAAGTATTGTAAATTATAATATTCTCATGGGTTAGGGGGTAACTTTTTTTTGTTTCTTGATATTTATTTATTAAATACAGACAGATCTACTGTCTGTAGATCTTGTAGCTTTCTTGGAACCATGGTTGTACTTTCTACAGTAAGAGCAGAGAAAATGCTTTCCCTCAATACATAATATTAGTTCAAAATTTCTCAGTTTTTTGGGGGTTTTTTGCTTTTAATAGGAAACTTGATTAAAAAAGATGAAAAAGTAGTTAAAATCTTAGAGAACTTAACATTTTGCACTGCATCTTCATATGTATTTTAGTAGTAAATCTCCCCAGATTGTACTGTGGTTTGCTGCTTCAAGCATTTGTCTCAAGATACAAAATAAATCCACAGGAGATTTCCCAGAATTCTTTAGATTGTTTTGGAAGGCCTGAAATGTGAAGATCATTTTTTCCTGCAGAGAAAACTGCAGTAATGGCAGTAACATCAGAACAAACTGCAAAGGGGCTGGAGGCCATCACTCAGAACAAGGCTGTACAGAAATCAACATTCCTGGCAGGAAAGGTGAAGTGGTGGCACAGATGTGCAGCTGAACATCCCCTCTCCAGGTGAGCTGCACCCCAGCACCACCATGGCAAGAATATTCTGTCTAATCCAGTTCTGGTTAGGCTCATTTCTGTCTCCCATTCTGCTGATTTAAGGTACCTGCTGAGTTTTATTAAAGCATTTGTTCTGATCAACCCCAAGATCTCTCCTACTTCACTTTATTGCTCACACAGTTGTGGGAGCTAATCACTTCCATGCTCCATAACTGAACATTTTCATTTGTCATTTTACAAACACTACTGCACTTTCCATTAGACCAGCCTTCTAACTATATGGACAAAATAGAAACATGAAATAGAAAAAGACAGAAAATGAACACAAAAATGGGAAAGGAATGAAGAATAGGTACCTAATTGGAGTCCCAAATCAGGAATATTCATGACAGGAAATTAACAGTAAAAACAACAAAAATGGGCCAAGATCCTTGAGAACAATAAAATAAAATAACAAAAGAACATCAATTGTTTAGGGTTAATCATCAGAGCAACACTAATCAAAGTCTTGTGTCCTCAGTCTCATATCAAGCCTAGAAATTCAATGCCTTTTACTTAAGCACACCTCAATTAACCTACATGGACACAGCATTAATACTTCAATTAATGAAAAAGCTCTGGAAGCCTTTCCATGGGGAATCATTCTCCTTAACAACCTGTGCTCAATGCTAACTTGTTTACCATCACAACAGAAATTCAACAAACAGAGAGACACAGTAGAAAAAGTACCATGGCAAAAAGCTTGCATTTCATTTAACACGAAATGAGTAATTTATCAGAACAACAAATCTAAATTGAGGGAAAGGGGAAAATTTTAATAAATAAATAGGACTGTAGATTTCAGTACAGTTATATATTGGTGAATGGTGGAGCATGGAAAGGACAAAGAAAAATTAAAGCAAGCAATGGAAAACTCAAAGATGATTGGAAACAAGCCTGAATGATCTTGCAAAGGTGAAGTGCTGAGTCAGGCAGGAGGAAAAAAGTCGTGGGAAAAACAAGTTGAAACTGCCACTAAATGACAGAAAAGGATACACTTGCTATGAAACTGAGTCAGTGAGAGTAAATAATCTGAAAGAATCTGATAGGTGATGAGAAATCAGACAAGAAAAGGGTATGGGAACTGCAGGCATGGGTACATGTTAATAATAAAACACACCATTTTAAAATATTAACCAGCCCTCTGAATTATTCAAATGAAAACAGAGGAGTTTATTCTTATGATAAAGTAATGCCTATTTCCACATTCCAGAAAGTTCACAGATGAGACTGGAAAACCAACAACTTAGGTTGGAAAGAAATTGTAGAGGTCATCCTGTTCAGCCCAGTGCTCAAAGCAGGGGTAGCTTTGGTGGTAGTTTAGGTTTTTCCCATCCTGTTCACTCAAGTTTTAAAGATTTCTAAAGATGGAAGTCTCAGGTTCTCTCTGGACAAGCAGTCCCAGTGTATGATCCCCCTCCTGCCTGGAAAAGGGAGTTTTTACCAGGAAGTTTCCCAAGGCTGCAGCTCCTTCCCTGACCCTCTGGGCACCTCTGGGAAGAGCCCAGCTCTGCTTTTGCTGCACTTTCCCATTTTGGGGTTGAGCAGAGCAGTAGGAATTACCCCAATACTCTCCTCCTCTACAGGCTGAACAGATGTCAGTGTTTTTGTCATTTGGGCAGCTCCCAACTGGCCTCAGTTCCAAAGAAATTGTCTCTAAAATTCCAAATCAAGGGGAACAAGCACTTTCCTCAACTTGCTACAGTCTTGATAATCTACCAAAATCAACCAATTTCTCCAAGTGAGGCCACATTAGTGAGGAGCAGAATTTCTCAAAGCACTGACTAGAGTTACATTAATCACTTCAAAGATTTGCATCAGGTTGGCAAATTAATTCCTCTTGTGCTTTCCACTGGAACTGGAATTCAGTGGTAATTCCAAGACAGAACTTTATCACAACAACAGTAAAGAGAAGTATTGGTGCTACTACAATTAATTTGCTCAGGGAATGCATGTTGTGCAGATCTACACAAATAACTGCATTCTGAATTCTGGAGTGCATGTAAGCACTCAGAAGGAATTTCCTCATTAAGAAATTCTCCAAGTTTTTTAAATATATAACAACATCATTACTTACAAAATACAAATTAGACTGTAAATCAAAATGTTCCTAATCAATTAATTCCCACAGAGACCCTTCTGACGTGCAGCTTTACAACTACTTTTTCTATTAATGCCTAAAAAACTTGAATACTTCTGTGAGGGTGAGAGAAAATGCTGCTGGAGAAAGTGGCATGTTAGCATCCAAGAATTAATTTTATTGTGCTATAAAAACAGAATCTTTGGGCAGGTTCACTTCCCATCGAAAAGCACTTTATTATATGTGGTTTATTATCAGTAATTTAGGTCAACTTGTTTGACTAGACACTGCAGTAGACATATCAATAAAAACAAAACCCAAACAAAAAATCATGAGTAAATAAATGTACACTGATTCAATTAGCTTGACAGAACAAAGGGATGTGATTTATATTTAAAGCAATACTAAAGGAAAAGATATTTAACAGGCAGGAAAACACTGGATTAGGACTGAGTGGATATTAAGTTGGTCTCGTAGTTACAGAACTCTTAACCTTTAAATTGGTAACAATTTTTTAAAATCCTGTTAGATGAAATACAGAAAGGAAAAAAACCCCACAGTTTCCTTTTTTTCAGGATACACTACAAGCAGCCAGCTGAAATAGAGAGCTTAGGCTTGATCCTTCTAACCTCACATATTTCTCCAGTGGTTTGGCCTTTTTTTTCACTCCCTTCTGATCATCTGATATTAGAATGTTTCAAATAACATAAATCACTGGGAACAAGAAATCTAGGAGCTGAAGTTTTTATTAAAACCCAAAGCTTCTCAGATCTAAGTAGTTTAGTTCATCAGGTTTTTAAATTGTGGTCAAAATGGGAATTTGAAAAGCAAGGATGAATTCAGACTTTTAAACAACAGTAGCAAGGGTACAGTAATTATTAGGTTTTGGGTATAATTATTACTTGAAAACCACTCTATGTAAATCATGTAGCAGGAGTTTTACTCAATGCAGAAATGTACAGAACTGATTTATGGGTCAGTGCCAGTAAAGCATTTAAATGCTCTGAGTTGCAGAGATTTTTCTTTTCAATACCTCATCATCAAAAATATGAGAAAATTGATAACACCACACTGTTAAACTGAGGTTATGCTGGCTTAAACCATATTTAAGGAATATTTACACAAAAACTATTAGAAAGTCCAAATGAGATTTTTCTTCAGAAAAATAGCAGGAAGAGAAGATTTTGGAAGATGCATACCATGTTTTCTACTCGGAGCTCAAAAGGCATAGGGTTGTACACCATCAGCTGAACTTCACACACATCTCCCTGGACCCACTGGAAGTCTGCAAGGAACAATCACAAAATTAAGGAAGGAGTTACCTAATCATAGGGTTATAAATAAACAGCAGCAGCTGAGCTGTCAGATTGCTATAATACTTTAATATGTCTCTATAATCTTCACAGCCCAAGTCCTGCTCAAGAGCATTGTGTGACACAAGATGTAAATCCCAGGCAAAGCAAGAGGTGAAGGGACTGGAAATGTTCATTAACACAGCAAGAGTGCTCCAAAGACCCAATGCTTCATTGGCAAAATTAACTCAGGCAGCAATTCAAAACACTACTTCAACACAGCCTTCATGTTCAACACTTAAAGGTTTCCATAATTGGAGTTTTGTGGAGTGCACATGGCCTTGACATTGGAGACCTGGAGACCTGGAGAAGCCAGGTAAGAAATGAACACAACAGGAAGAAAGAAACCACAAGTTCTCATAAAGACACAGCTGATTATATGGAGTAAATAAAGAGACAATGAGGTAAAATGGGCCAGAAAAAGGATGTACCTGCAGTTTATATCTTAGCACAAGAGACAGGTCAACTTTAAAGATACTTCACACTGCCAATTTTAATTTTTTTTTTTTTAGTTTTATAATTTAAGGAGATGAAGCTGGACTAGTGGAAGGTGTCCCTGCCCATGGCAGGGCAGGCTGTAACTGGATGATCTTCAAGGTCCCTTCCAACCCAAACCATTCTGTAATTCTGTGGTTCTGTGGGAGATTATGGAGGCCAGCAGCAGAGATGCAAATTTTGAACAATTGTTCAATGCAAAAAGATTATTTTATATCAGCACTTCATAACCTTTTCAGCTCTCAGGTTTGTGTCTACCTTCCAAATTTCTCACAATGAACCACATGCACCTGAAGTGCAGACTTTAAACTGAATGTGGCAAGATTCTCCCTGCAAGCTGAGGATTTGCAGTCCAAGTAAACAAAAGGTGGTTTAATTACATTTGTTAAATAAATCATGATTATAAGCTAAATTATAGCATACAGGGATTAGTTCTTACTAGTTTACCTAATGATTTTAACATACATTGCTAACAATTTTTCTACTAGGATATTAGGAAATGCCCAGTAAAAAATCTGGATAATCAATATTAAGACTTTAATGCACAGTTGAAGCAATCTGTACTCTAATTGTACATTCACAATCATTTACTTTCTGATTACATTTTGCAGGCAATATTAGAGAGCTCAAGGGAGATGTACTTAATGCAAATGTTTAACTCAAATTAATGCTAGTGGAAATTAAACACATACATCCACAGATGTTAATGGGTGATATTACTGTGAAACCTGAAAAGCAAAACTGTTGATTAAAACAAAACATTCACATTCACAGTGGTATGAGATGTTCTCTACATTTCATATTTAATTGCTTATTAGTGTCCATGATGTCTTGTGCATTCTGCAGCCCCCAAAACAGCCAGTGACTGCTCTGCACAGGTACAGAGTTAAACACTGTGGATTACTACAGCAACAGAGGCACCTGCAGCAGCACAGCAGCCCTGAATCTCCACATTCTAACAATCACCACAGTGAGGAATGTCTGTTCTGAAAGAACAACACCCCACAGGGCTCTCCAGACCCAGGACTCATCCCACCATGATTCACTTATGCCAATGATGTCAAACCTCTGGGACTGGGCCAAAGCTTCCAGCTGGTGTTTGTTCCTCATGCTCTGGGCATCAGGGTAGAAACATTACAGGTGTGGTACCTTGTGGCCAACACCTGGTGAAGCAGATTGTGGGATCCCATCAGGATCCTCAAGGTTTGGCACAAAATCCCATTGCTCAGCACTGGGGAGCCTGCTTTTCTCCCTTTCCCCCTTCCAAGCTAGTTCAAAGCTCTGTAAGCAAGCCCCATTGCTCCTGTGCTAGAATTCCTTTTCCCATCTGAGAAAGGCTCATTCCATCAGGTGTCAGCAGGCCAGGTGTTGATAGATCATCCCATGGTCAAAAACCCACATTTTTTCCATTGACACCAACCTTGGAGCCACACATCAATGGAGCTGCCTGTTCCTATCAATGTTATTCCTTGCTTCTGGAAGGATCAAGGAAATCACTCCCTGTGCTCCTGATCCCTCTACCAGGGCCTTGAAGTCTCTTTTGATTGGCCTCAGACTTCTCTTTGTCGTTTTGTTGCTGCCAGTCTGAACAACCAACAGCAGATAGGAATCAGAGGGTGTTTCTAGACTGGAATTTTCCAGTGATGTCCCTTACCTGAGCCCCTGGGAGACAGCAAACCTCTCCTGAGTTGGGTCAGGTCTGCACATGGGGCTCTCTGCTCTCCTTAGAAGGGAGGGAGTCTCCTGTGAGGACCACCCTTCTTCTCCTGCCAGTAGAGGAGGTTGTGATGCAGGGTCCAGGTGGTGCTGCTTTAGGAAGTCCCTCTGCCCCAGAAGGACCCTCAGCCACCTCATCAGTTGTTTGGCCTTCTCATTCCAGAGCCTCACCCCTGGGTGTGGCACCTAAAAGGTGCCAGTCCTACTTGACACAGGAGGAGGAGGAGGAGAAACCTTCCTCCTGGTGCAGGCAGTGACCTGGCTCCATCCTTCCCCTGTAACAGACCCCTGACTGACAATCCCTCCACTCATCACCCTGCTGGGCTCTGAGTCCCTCTGCTTTGGGCTCTGAATCCCTCTGCTTTGGGCTCTGAGAGTCCATCTGCTTTGGGCTCTGAGAGTCCATCTGCTTTGGGCTCTAAATCCATCTCCTTTGGGTCCTGAGTGCCTCTGCTTTGGGCTCTGAGAGTCCATCTGCTTTGGGCTCTGAGTCCCTCTGCTTTGGGTCCTGAGTGCCTCTGCTTTGGGCTCTAAATCCATCTCCTTTGGGTCCTGAGTGCCTCTGCTTTGGGCTCTGAGAGTCCATCTCCTTTGGGCTCTGAGTCCATCTCCTTTGGGCTCTGAGTCCATCTGCTTTGGGTCCTGAGTGCCTCTGCTTTGGGTCCTGAGTCCATCTCTTTTGGGCTCTGAGTCCATCTGCTTTGGGCTCTGAGAGTCCCTCTGCTTTGGGCTCTGAGTCCCTCTGCTTTGGGCTCTGAGTTCCTCTGCTTTGGGTTTTGTGTCCCTCTGCTTCTCCACTGCAGAGAGAGGGAGGTGATCACTCTACTCCAGCCTAGGCTTGTCAGGCACAGCTGTGTCCAGCTCTGGTCCCCACAGCTGGAAGGGACACAGAAAGACTGAAGAAGATCCCAAGGAGCACCACAGAGGTGGTCAAGGACTGGAGAACCCCCCTGATGAGGAATATCCTCTCTGGGGTAAAGAGAAGGCTCAGAGGCAATATCATCATAGTATTCCAGAACTTCAAGGGCTGCATGAAGAGGACAGAAGCTCTTTCTCACAAGGAGCCACAGGAAGAAGACCAAGGGTATCAGACACCAGTTGGACTGAAACAGGTTTTATTTTCTTACTAATTTTTTTTTGTTTCAGTAAGAACAGTCATTCAGTGGAACAGCCTCCCCAGGGACATGGTGGAGTCTGAATTAATGGAGGTTTTTAGAGATGAGATTGAAATCCCCTGTGAAAAATGTGCCAGGGCAGGGCTACAGAATTGTTCCTTGGGGGAAAAGGTTTTGAAAGGAAAGGTAAAATGAGCTATATTTGTATCAGCTAATACTGGTATGACAGAGCTGCTGGATTTACTAACAGAACTATATTATATATTCTTGCTGCTTTGGACTATCAGCGCTCAAAACCAACAAAACACTTCATGTCAAAAATCAGGAGGTTTATTTTTTATGACTAGCATGCTATTAAAGCAATTTAAGTACAATATAATTATCCCTGTTATTGTTTCCAATCAGAAAAGCTTATCAAGTTGAAAGCTGAAAACATTTCAAGACTTTCTAAAGGGTTTTGTTTCCCTTTGGTTTGTCAGCAGTGCTTGATTTCCTTTGCTGCAAAACAATAATTTAACCAAAATATGGAGTACTATCTCCATGTAAGACAAACAATTCCTTATTGTTGTTTTTAATTAATGTTTAATACATGCCATTAAATTACTCTCATTAATTTTGAAGTTAATAAATTTCCCAGCTTCTTTCAAAAGAAGTATCTGCTTTTATTTTGTATTTTCTTTTGTTTGCTAAACTTTGAAACATTAGAGGCTTTTAGCAGGGACTGCAATGTTTATATACTTCAAAAGACAAATGCTGTACAGGATCAGAAGCAATCAGACATCTCCTTGGGCTAAATAAAAACCTAAAAGAAGAATGTTCACTGTAAAATGTAAATCTCCAATGGTACACAAAGCACTGAAACAAATGCTAACCAGTTCAAAAATGCAGGTTCCTTTTGTATCCATCAAGGAATGAAAATACTGCTTTGTGCAATTATGTGACAAAACTGGGAATAAGGTTTTATTTAAATGAAAAAACCACGACACGGTATAGCTAAGAGATTAAATGTTGAAAATTTAATAGTAATTAAACTTTCAATGAATTATTAAGAGAAATCAAGAGAGCACTTTAAGATGTTCCCCTATGTGCACATTTTTTCAATTTATCCTTTAACTAATTCTTCTTAATCTTTTTTTAATTTCTTATCCTTTCTCTTTTGAAATCACAGCAGTGCTGCAGCAAAGTCACACTGAGCCAAGTGCATCCAAACTGCCAGATCATCATCCCTGCTCTGCACATCCCAGCTGTTCCTGTTTCAGCTGTTTATTGAAAATACACACCATAAACCCAAGTGGAAAATGTGCATGTTCTTCTCAGGGTGAGGGATTTCACCTTACTCATAACCAGGTCCTCAGCAGGGGCACAGCCCATTTTTGTTGGAAAGAGGAAACCACAGAGATTCTTGGAGAACTGACCCTGCAGGCAGGCACAGTCCAGAAGAACAAGGAGCCAAGTTAAGATAAAACATCCTGCAAATTTCTCAAGTTTTTATAATCAGTTCTCTTCCACAGTCACACAAATCTTTTTTGTGCTGACATTGATGCCTCTGGTAAAAGTTATCACTCACGTAATAGGCACAAAAGCCACAAAAAGAACTACCAATATTTGTAACTTAATCCAGGATTTAAACAAACTTCTAATCTTTTTCCAATGGCACAATTACTGCACTGAAAGGCTTTATAATCTTTATAAAAAGAAAATTACTCATATTCCTAAAAGGGTTTAAAAACTTTTTCTTGGCTGATCTGTCCTAGAGTAAAAGGGACCAATCAGACAGTTCATCACTCTGAGTTTATGTTAAATCAGAATAGGAAAAGGAAAAACCACAAGAGTGCACTTTCCTCAGGGCACTGAAATTGTGGTGGCTGCCAAGCAGAGCATGTCAGAACTAAGTCTTCCCTGAATTCTCTTTTGTTTGAGAAGGAAATAAAACTAGTTTATCTCTTCTTGAAAAATCAACATTACCATCTATGAGACTTTATTCCTCTTTTGAATATGAAACTGTGCCCCAGAGAAAAAAGTATTTGTTCCTTCAGGACTTGAGGCTAAAAAACTGATTATCTCAAATGAAAGACAGCAATGTTCAGGTTTGCTTTCCTTGACCACAGAAGATTTTCTAATTTAACAAAAGAACAGAAAATACTGTGAATTATTCTTACCTATTTTCTTATTTCTTTCTTCCCCACGACTGTGAGCAATAATTGGAGAATATATGAAGGGGCTTTTGGTTGACACATTCTGACCAAGTAAACTTTTCATTTTGTGAGGTCGGAGACTGGTTGGGAGGTTCAAGAGCTTCACAGACCTGGTGAGTAAAAATAATTTCTAATTATTTCATTTATTGTCTTTTGTAACAGGTGCCTGTGTTAAAAAAAGAACACTGATAAAAAAGAACACTGACTGATAAATATGAAATATCAGTCTGAGAACAAAATACCTGAAATGGAACACTTGAAACAAACATTTACAATACAAAAGGAAGAAACACCAACCCAAGGAAACTGCAGTTTCAGAAAGCTCTCACAAAACAAATAACAAAAGAAAAAAAATCTTTAGAAACCAACAAAACACAAACTAGGCCAGAAGAGTGATTTGAAACCCAGCTATTATTTTTTTGAGTACAGACTGAACCAGAACTCCAGTGCAGAAAGCAGCCAAATATTCAACTTAAACCCAAACTAGAATCCAGACAAGATTTCATTGGGCAACACAAATAAAGAAACTTCTCCACAGTGAATAAAGCTGATTTTAATACAGTGAAAATGCAGAGTTGCTGCTGGAAAGAAGAAAATGTCCCAGAAATTTGAGTGGGTTCGTTAAACAACCAGAAAGCAAATTACAAATAGAAAACAAATTATTTATTAGAGTGCATCCCTGCTAGACCCAATTCCTACAATGCCATGCAGGGAAATCAATGCTCTTCCAATGCTCAGGGGAAAGTAAAGACTAAATTGTGGGCAGAAGAACAAGCAATAAATTGGTGGATATTCAGTAAAATCAGCAGCATTCCATAAACCTGTAGGACACCTAATTACTTCAAATCAGGAACTCAGCACAGCAAAGAACAGATATATCAGTATCACACTAATAGAAAGTAGACACTCACAAGAAACCAAGATAATGTGTTTCTGCTGAAAAATAATGGAGCTGTAAGATTAGCACCACACAGACAAGTTCTCTCTGTGAAACAAAACACCTGATGAGAAATTACTAAATAACACTCAAAGTAGGTTGAACAAAAAATAAATCACATCCATGTGTTACATGTTGGTGATACTTGGTGTCAGCATCAAAATCATATGTAAAATCATAGACAATGAGCCTGAGGAATTAGAAGGGAACTGTAAGAGACCCCTGATATTCCATATTTTAAAACCTCTTCTGATAGAGGTTTTTACAAATTAGAATGCAACTTAAAGCAAAAATGTGAATTATACTTATTTGAGGAAACAAACACTGAATTTGATATAGAGGTAATAAAAAGGAATTTTATTTGATATACAGAGGAAAGTGCTTTGGCTCCTTCATGGTTATTATATAAATACTGGTGGATAACTTGCTTTACCTGAATGCATGACAGTGGAAGGAATGTTCCTCAAAAATGTATCAGAGAGCTGTACCCTCAGAGGTCAGACATAGAAAGGAGCAGATTTTTAATTCCTTTGTATGAAAAGCTTCAGTCATGTCCCCTGGCCTGCCACCACTGAATGCAAATGAGTGACAATTAAGAATTACTAACTGATTTCACTAACTACCCAGAAGATCTAAATCCTGTATTCGGGAAATGTTAATTAAAAACAACCTTGCTTAGATGGGAAAGGAAATTTCTTTTTTTCTTTTTTTTTTTTTAATAAATCCCACTATACTAAGTAAACAGAGAGAAGGGAAAAAATGGCACTGAGACAATTTGAAGTAGTAAGGAAAGTATGTAAGGACAACTAAAAGCAGCAGTGATGAAAAGAAAGGCATTTTTCTGCTTTTAAATATATTAGTAAGACAATTACCTTTAACATAAGTAAACCATAAAAATGGAAATAGTGATTTTTTTTTATCTGAGAAAATACCAAATGATGACTTTATATTGAACATGAGTAATGGAATATAAAGATTTTGCCTTGCCAAATCTTTTCTATTGCTTTTAAAGTACTGGGGAGAAAAGGTAACATTGCCACTGTGCTCCTATTTCACTGTGGCATTTCCATGTCTGACAGTATTTTGATTAAGAAATTCACATCCAAAATAAGCACCCCACATTAAATGGATTAAAACTCTTAGACCATGAAATGCCAACAGTAAATAGAAGTCATCCCCATCAGTAAATGTGTGTTTCTAGAGGGCTCTAACATGGATTGAATCGTAAGCTGAGGTTATTCAACATTCATCAAATTACATTTCCACACATTTATAACTGATGTCACAAAAATTAGCAGAATTTAGCTCAGAGAGCTCAGCTCTTCCCAATGGGCTGGGCAGCTCTACAGCACCAGATCTGCTGGGCAGATGTAACCAGAGACTTTATATCTAAATTCAACTAATATTTTATTGGAGCACAATTTTTTATTATGATGGCTTTTATAGAATTTTTAACAGACAAGAAGGAGGAGGAGAGGAGCAGCAATTCTTACATGTTAAATAAAGTTGATGCTGGGTTCCTCACCCCATGGCAAAACAGAAAGAGCAATTCCCAATATTCCAAGCACAGCCAGGTCAAGACAAGTAGATAATGTAAGTGGATATGTTTGTCCCCTTCTCAGCATAAAAAACATTTTAATTGACATCAAGTCTTTCCCACTGAAGTCTTGGGAATCTCTTGCCAGAGTTCTGACTGGCCTCTTCTTCCAGTCTCTTCTCCCAGGTAACAAGACTCAGGATAAGAGGAAACGGCCTCAAATTGCACCAGGGGAGGTTTAAATTTAGAAGAATTTTCTTAGAAGAATTTTCTTCATGGAAAAGGTTGTCAAGTATTGGAAGGGGCTGCCCAGGGAGGTGGGGGAGTCACCATCCCTGAAAGTGTTCAAAAAATGTCTGGATGTGGACATTGTTGAATGGTGAACATGGTGGTGGTGCAGGGTTGATGGTTGGACTTGATCACCTCAAAGGTCTTCTCCAATTTTAACTATTCCATGATTCTGTGATGCTGTGACTAAATTCATGACTCCCATGAAGGAGGATTCAATCAGCATTTCCCCCATTTTCTTCACTATTTAACATACTTCTTCTGAATAGGAATTCTCTCTCCTTCAAAAAGAAAATATTTCCTTTCACTCTTCTATTATTGATACCCAGTGGCTACTTTCTCTCTCTCTGACTCCCTCTAATGTCTCATGCCAGCCTTCAACCTGAACAAGTTATTCTTCATTGGCCTGACTGCAGGATGTGCCTGAATGGAACTGAGATTTGGAACAGGCCAGTGAAGGTGCCAGCTTGAAAATGCAGCATCTGGAAAGGGAGAGGTACAAAAAGCACCATTTCCAGGTGAGTTCCAAGCTCTGTGGATGGAGACTGCATCCAACTCATGCATTTTCAGTATTGAAATGATCAAGTACTCAACTAAAATCTCAGCTGCAGCAAAATAGCTTCCTCCAATTGAATAAGAAACTGTTGAAGGACAGTTCTTCAAAAAACAAAACTCCTCTCTTTCTGAAACTAAAGGCCACAAAGTATTTTCTGGTCAAAGGCTCTATTTTTGATCAAGAGCCTCTCAAAACAATTTGACATTTTGACATTTTTCCATGTTCCTGTGATCCACATGCATAAAGCGAGATGACTGCATCCTTTCAGTATCCTGTAAAATTTGACAGGTACTGTGAAAAAGTTAAAGATTGTGTTTTGGTCTTACTTCACAATAGGCAATTTGGTGAAGGGAACAGGAGGTAGCTTCAAACCATCTGGAAGAGTGATGACTTCCATTGTCCCAGGGCATTTTGCCGTGTAGCTTTCCAAGCTCTGCGTGACATCTTTCTTTTCTAGAAAATAAAATTGAAAAACAATTTCAAACTCACATTTAATTGAGACTATAGCCTTTTTTTGTACAAAATAACTCAACTGGCATGCCAACTAATTTCTGCATTCAGCACTTGGAGTTATGTTCAACCTCGACAGATGGATCAAATATAATTAAGTGACCTTGAACAAAAGAGTTTTCTAGATTTCTCAGAATTTTTCAAGTGCTAGTCTATACCTACATTTTGTTAGGGTTTTTTATTATCAAAATACAATTTTTTACAATTCCACCTATTAAATCTATATATCCAAACAAAACAATCAGCCTCACACATATTAAGGTTATTAATAATAGCATTGTATGGGAACAAAGACTGCTCTGAAACATTAGATTAAATAATATCAAAGGCAATGAAGAGAAACAAATTACTTTTGATGTTAACTTGTGTGAAAACTATCTAATCTTCAAAATAATTACACTGTGTTATGCTACTAAATCATAACAACAGGAAAGAAAGATTTTCTTTGGTTTTGCTTAAAAATACAAGAATGTTCAAACAAATATATATTATTTGGGTTATCTTCAAGAATGTACAATGATTGCATATTAGTTTTATCCAACAATTATTTTCAATAATACATAAAACTGTGTCTCCAGAAAAAAAATAAGTCTGTTTGGAAATATAAAGCCTCAACACAAAATTGTATTTGATCTTTATGATGCCTTCCAACCCAAACCTTTCTACAATTTTATGATTCCCTATTTCTCTGATGAAATGGAAGTCTGCAAATAGAGAAATAGAGTCTGGCAGTGTTTGTTTAGAGGGGAGAATGAGGCAGCTGAAAAGACCTATATTGTTTTAAAGTGAATATTCAAAGAGTGTTGGAAGGAACCTTAAGGTCCAACCCCCCTGCCACGGGCAGAAACGCCTTCCACTGGACCAGGCTGTTCCATGTATGTGCTGCCAACAGAAATAATTATTCAATATTGAAACTGTATCTAGAAAATACTTAAAATATCAAAATACTCAATGATAAAACTCAATAGGAAAGGGGAGGGTGATAACAATTAGCTATCAGTAGCAGTACTACAGAAAAACCTGAGGTGTAACTGGGTTATGCAGCAAGGTTTTGGTAGCAAGGAGTGGCCTTTGGGAGAAGGTACCAGGGTATCTCCATTCCAGACCAGCCCAAAACAAACCTGCTGCTGCCCAGAGCTGGGCCAGCCAGTTATGCTGGTGGCACCTCTGAGAGAACATATCTAAGAAAGGGTAAAAAATGCTGCATAGCAGCTGTGAGAGGGAGGAGTGAGAAAAATGTGAAAGAAACATATCCTGTAAACAGTGCCAAAAATACCAAAACCTGCCCAAAACACTGTCTTGGGCCTTGAAAAGCACAAACATCCAGCAATGCTTGTGCTGCCCACACCAATCCAGCTCAGTTTGTGAATTCTACAGCCACAAGGAGTACACACTCCTCCAAAGCAAATCAACATTGATTGTAATCCCTTCACTATGGAATTAATGGCACGTAACTGACAAATTGCCTTGCTCGTGTCTGTGTTTCACTGAGCCATTCCCCACATTTTAATTGCCTGTAGGGAATGCTCCCAAAACCACATTCATTAGACATCCATACAGACTCACAGCAGCACAGCACAGCCAGGAGCTGTAGTGGTTCAAGGCTGAGTATTACCATCAAAATTTTAGGTTATTTGCCATATTATGAGCAGGGGCACATAGTGCAAGCAGAATCCACCCAGATGGAAATCTTCACAGCTACCAGGAATGATGAAGGTAATGCCACAGCATCTGCTTAATTGGGCTTGAAACCAAAGGTCTGCCATGCCAGAGCACTGCCTTTCATTCCCTAGTGTGAAACACTGCCAGTTATTGTTCTCAAAGAAAGCAGGCTGCCATTTGCAAGAAGAATTTGTTTACAGATTTTTAAGTCACGTGGTTATTTCCTGGTAGCAGCTCCCCACACTTTCTGTGAGAAAAAAGCCAAACCAAAGCATTTTTCTATGTTGATGTGGTGTGAAACACAGCTTTAAACATGCTGCTGCCAGGCCAGCAGCTCAGTTCCTTTTCCTTAGCACCACATCTCAGCCAAGACGCTGAAGGAATCCACATCAGCAGGACATGATGGGAAGCATTCACAATGCAAAACAGCTGCCTAATCCTGCCCAAGAGCCACTTCTGAAATCCAGCACTGGAACCTTCTCCCACGAGCAGCACCTCAGCTCACTGACCTCTGTGGCTTAATGGTTGCCACAAACCTGCTACAGAGATTGGAGCTCTGAATTCTCACAGCTTCTGGCTGCCTGACATCCTGTTCTGACAGAAGCTCCTGGGAGGAGCCACTGAACTCCTCAACCTCACTCCTGACCCACAGTTAGGAGATTTCTGTGATAGTTATCACCAGCACTTACCTTTTTGAAAAGAAGAGACAAAAGCCAGCTGCTCTTGGAGGTCTTTACCCACCTGGTGCCTTCATGCTCATCCAGCAGGAAGGCAATCACCACTTGATCCTGTGACCTGTGAATTCACCTCAACAGCTTTAAAAGCCTGTCCTGCAGCTGGGAGCACTACTGGATACTCTTGTGTAGGTATTAGAGACTCATTTATTGAGTGAGGAGTGACAGCTGATTTTCTCATCTGGATTAACTATGTTCACAATTTTTTTCCCCTCACTTTTCCTCCGGACTCACTGAAAGACCAGGATCACAGAATGGCTGTAACCAAATAAAGCTGAGCAAAGCCTCTGGCAGCACTGACATGTGAGCACATTCTGCTCAGTTTGTTCAGTATAACCCCACTGTATTTTCCCCATTTCATACCCAATTGGCTTTGACTGCTTCTGACAACCAAAAAATTTGCAATTTTTTTCCACTCATACTCTTGGAATTTCATTGCTCAACTACTTCACCTCAACATAACGAGCACTGGTTTTGTGTCCAAGCTCCTTCAAACCTTCTTCTAATATGAGAACACAAAAATCTGAGAGCTTCAGATGCACAGTCAGAAACCATTAGTGATTGAAAGCTACTAAATGTGAAAAAGACAAGACTTTCTGCTCGTTTCACAGTCCTGTGGAGCAGTATTTCACAATAATGGAGCCATTGAAAAATCAGACCAGGACAGGACAGAAGGTCAATTATAGAATAACAATTTTAAGCACTTTAGTAACTGTGATTTAACAGTGTAACACAAACAGCAGTTCATGTCTTGGCAGATAACACAGAAAGTTGGAAGAACACAATTGTTGTAACTGTGCTCTTGAATATTTGAAGAAATTTAAAATAGCTGTACTTGGGTTCAGTCACTACCCAAGGCAAAGAACAAAATCACAATATTTTTTGTTTGGCAACAATTGGTTGATGTTGTGTTGATCAAGTCACAGTGTCCCCTGCAAAACAATTCACAGCCAGGTGGAATAAAGAAAGGGAACATTTCCTGTCTGACCCACCAATCCCACTGGAACAACTTCATTTCCTTATGGAGCTCACTAAAATATTGAAAACAAATAGCTCCACACCTTCTGACTCCAATTTTACCTCAGTGATAGGCCCAAATCAACATTTTAACAAAACCCCCTCATTGCCCAGGGTGCTTTGTGCTGGCTGAGCTTTCTCCTTCTCCCTTGAAGACATCAAATAATGGTCACAAAGGAGAAGTCTGAGGAGAGCTCCTGCAGCAGTCCTGACCCAACATTCTCAGGATAGACTCAAACATCTCCTTAATGAGTTAACAGTAATATAGAACAAGACAGAAAAGGCAGTCTGATTACTGGAAAAAAAAAATATATAAAAAGCAGTTTTTGCACCCATAAACACAGATATGGCCTTCCACTGCATGGAGGGAGCATACAAGAAAGATGGAGAGAGATTTTTTACAAGAGCATGTAGTGACAGGATAAGGGGAAATGGATTCAGTCTGACAGAGGGCAGGTTTAGATTAGATATTAGAAAAAAAACTATTTTCTGAGTCTGGGAAGGCTCTGGCATAGGTTGCCCAGAGAAGCTGTGGCTGCCCCATCCCTGGAAGTGTTCAAGGCCAGGTTGGATGGCACTTGGAGCAAGCTGGGATAGTGGAAGGTGTCCCTGCCCAAAGTAGAGATGATAACTTTAAGGTTGCTTCCAATTCAGACTATTCTGTGATTCTGTGATATTTCCTTCACACACCCACACAAAATGAGAATTGCTTGGTGAGCCCTAGAGAAGAGAAAGTCCATGTCTGCTTCCAGAGGAATCTTCAGTCATGAGACTGAAGATACAAGATACAAGATACAAGACCATGAAAATACAGTGTACTCTTTAAACCAAAGCATTTCAAAAAGGCTACAAAATACATTAAGATCCTCACAAAAGCTGCAGTAGGAATTGATTATTCACAGACAGCAACCACCACACACCTTTTACTCTGCAGTTAATCACAGGTTGCAGGGGGTGTGCAAAGCTCCTCAGCCTTTCAGGCAGTGCCTGAGCTCTGGTTTGGGCAGGGAGCACCACATTTGTGTATTCAGGGCATTCCCCTGCCCCAAGCACAGAGCCAGAGGTGTGAGCAAAACACCTGGGCAGGACCTGCAGGATGAATCCACTCCTGCATCAGCAGGGCTGGAACTCAGCAGACAGAGCAGCTCCTGTCCCTGCAGGCAGCAGCCTCTGCTTCTCCACCCCATGAACTCTGCCAGGGACTGGGGGGTGGCATTTTCTACACTTTCAGTAACAAACAGCACCGTTCATATTTTTCTGAAAAACACGTGGAGCAGGTAAGCACAACTTCAAAGTGCTCAGAAATCTCCTACTTGAACAAGGTGCTTTGACAGCAGCACAGGAACCCTGTGTTCATTCATGAACCCCCCTGAGGGTTCATCCCACTGCTGCAAGAAATGTGTGTGTTCCCCACAGACTCCAAAGCTGTTCTTAGGGACAAAGGCACTGGCAGTCACCAGAGATTATGAATTCCATTTCTTTAAAAAAATCAAGCAACATAAATCTCTAAATAAACACAGCAGAGACTAA